AGGCAATCCACTCACCTTAGCCTCCCAAAGGCGCGGGATTACAGGCTGAGCCACCGAGCCTGGCCCTTTTTTTTTTTTAAAGCAGGATTTCTTGAGAGGACAGAAAGGCGGGGAGGGGATCACCCAAGCTGGAATGCAGTGTTCCAGTTACAGCTTACTGCAGCCCTCGACCTCCTGGGCTCAAGCAATCTTCCTGCCTAAGCCTCCTGAGTAGTTGGGACTACAGGCTTGTGCCACATGCCTGGCTATTTTTTTTTTTAATTTAATTTTTTGTAGAGATAGAATCTCCATATGTTGTCCAGGTTGGTTTTGGACTCCTGGCTCAAGTGATCCTCCAGCCTTGGCCTCCCAAATGCTCGGATTATAGGGGTGAGTTATTGCACCCAGCCTGCCCATACTTTTTGAGTGGAAGGAAATCCCATCCAAGCGCTATTTAACTGACTCGGAAGACTGCTTATCAGTCTGTTTCCGGTTGGGGGAGGCCAAGATGAAAAGGCCTATGACCCTCTTCTCAAAGCTCACTGAGCTTTCCCCAGACCACTTCCTTAAGTTCAAGTGCACATCGCTTCATGGCCAGGTATGTCAGGTCCTCACAAGAAGCCAAGGGGAAGGAGAACTCGACACATTTGCTCATATGATCCTTCTGCTCCTCAGATACTGCCGTAATAGGGTAGGAACAAAACCTTTTTCTCCCTTGCACTCGGATGACATTCCTGATGGATAAATCACACCTTCTGTGGCCAAAGACCACACCAAAAGAAATTGGACCTCTGCTCTCCCCACTCTCTCAAGAATGACAATGCTAATTCCTAGATACCAGATGGAGGATCAGCCTACAAGTAGACACTTGCCCAGAGTACTATGCTGTTGTTTTGTAAAGAATTAAGAAACCTGAATCACCTTTTTGGGTGAAACTAGGAGTCAGCCTTATATCCCTGGAACAAAAAGTGGCAGGTAAGCTGTTTGGCTTCCTATGCTTGGATTCCCTCACTCCACTGAGACATGATGGTATCAAATAAGGGCAGGGCCAGGTCATGTTTCTAAGATGCTGTGTCCAATTGCTGTTTAAAATAAGTCACACACAGCTGTTTCTGCTTCTCCCTACCCTGCCTGATGAAATAGCCCCTTTAAAACTTTAGGACAGATTCTAATCTTTACAGATGAAATTTATCACTAGCAACAAGCAGGCTCTGGGTACCTTCTCCATACAAGCTATAGTCACTCGAGGGATTCAGAGGCAAAAATGACAGCCTACCTCTCCCCTAATAAGGAAGGAGAGTGGCTTAAAGAAAGAAATGCAGCCCAAGCCCCTCCCACCACCTTCTTCTACACCTAAAGTGGATTATAATCTTCAATAGAAATTGGCGGAAGTATTTCACTGTTACTTACTTTGCCCATAAGAATTGTTTGTTTTTTGAGCCCAGGAGTTCAACCGGCTTAGGCAGCATTGCAAGATCTCGTCTCTACAAATTATCAAAAAATTAGCCTTGGGAGGCTGAGGTAGAAGGATCGCCTGAGCCCAGGAGGCCAAGGCTGCAGTAAGCTGTGATCACACCACTGTACTCCAGCCTGGGCAACAATCGAGACCCAAACTCAAAAAAAAAAAAAAAAAAAAAAAAAAAAAAAAGACTTGTTTGTTCATCTTTTATTAAATCCTGGGTATTAAAAACTTGATCAGAAGAAGCATCTATTTATCCACATATATTTACACTTTGTGTTTCTAATTTTATAAAGCCAAAAAACCAAATCCCTATTAACTGGGTTTTAAATCGAGGGTGTGGCTAGACTACGGGGACTTCTGATGTTCTCCTGTGAGTGATGGTGAGGTATTTCTGTCCAGAGTTTAAAAACACACACACACAGTAAAAATAGCAAGAACTAGCCCAGAGCCTGGCAGATTCTCTGGCCGAACAAGGCCTCAATATCTGAAGCCATTTCAGAGTGAGCTGCTCACCACAGCTGCCCAGGAGTAATTACAGGAACGCAATGAACTCTGGCCCAAGGCACAGGGAAGCCCCACCTGCACCTCTTTCCAAAGCCCCAAACCACTCCTTGTTACGAACCCAACATCTAAAACAAATATGTATCACCCAGCAATCATGTTAGAACTTTCCCCACTCAAGCAGGAGTATGTATATTCGGAATTATTTGGTTTGCCTTACAAGTCACACAAGTCAACACTTCCTTCAACCCAAATATAGAGAACAGGAAACCTCCCCAAACTTCACAAATAGAAAAGGCATTACTTTGCATCTGTGTAGACAATGACCTGATGTTTTCTTGTAAGGATCTTGCTAGATCCTCTATTTAAAAAAAAATTATATATATTGAGTCAGGGTCTCACTCTGTTGCCCAGACTGGAGTTCAGTGACATGGATCACAGTTCACCACACCA